CTGTGACGGCTCTAAAACCTCACGTGACCTTGAAGAAACCCATTTAGTTTGCTAGTCCTTTGCTAGCAGCACGCACAGATGTCCCTGAGTCTTTTGGGGGGGTTTCCCCTAAGACTTGTATCTTTGACTCAAATTCATTATCTGTTACAAATGAAGACTTTGTTTCTTTCAGTCACAGGACGGTGCAAAACGGCTAAAGTTGAGTGACAGCAGTGTGTCCACAGCTGCTGCTGGTGTTGTGACCAACGTGGCCAAACCAGGTGGAATCAGGAGGAGCACCCGACACAGGAAACTCCGAGGAGAGAAAGCGCTCATCGTTTCAGCTAATCAGACTCTGAAAGAGCTGAAAATACAAGTGAGGAATTCAGATTATTGAACACAAAGTAGTGAGTGGGCCAGTTTGACCAGACTAAATCCACTGTGCCTGTCATTGTCCAGATCATGCACGCCTTCTCTGTGGCTCCATTTGACCAAAATCTCTTCATTGATGGAAAAAGTCTGACAGATGACTCAGCCACACTGGGTAGCCTGGGAATCATCCCGGAGAGCATCATCTGTCTGAAGGTACACATCACAGTTTCCTCATCCTGACACAACAATCGCTAGAACGATAATCTGACGTCTAAAGTGGGATCCCGTACATTTTCCTTTTCCTCCAAATATGTTCTGTTGTTTGGCTGCAGGCTGATGAGCCAATAGCAGATTACGCTGCAATGGATGATGTCTATCAAGGTAAGTAGGCCTGTGTTTGCTTCCACTACAGCTGGATTAAAAGAAGGACTGCTTTCTTAAATTGGCTGTTCCTCTTTGTTCACAGTGAGAATGCCTGAGGAGGGATTTAAAGGTGAGCATGTTTTACTTCAAACATAATAGTGGTGGGTCACAGTGTAGGGCACAGAGCCACTGCAGCTGGGATATGGAGCAGGTGAAGGAAAAAAGTGAAATACGTTAGTTGGAATGACACCAGTAAACTCTTTCTTACTAACAAGCCCAAATGTTGGGAATAGGAACCACATGTGGGCTGTCCCAAGTTCTTTGTGTCTGAAACAGGCTGTATATACGCTATATACGCCCTCTGTCTAATAGCTGCAGGAGAGCCACAGGTAGTGCTGGCTGTAGGTCAGGGGTGGGCAACCCCAGGCCTGGAGGGCCGGTGTCCTGCAGGTTTAAGATCTCACCCTGGGTCAGCACACCTGAATCACATGATTAGTTCATCACCAGGCCTCTGGAGAACTTCAGGACATGTTGAGGAGGTCAGGGACACGTCTAAAACCTGCAGGACACCGGCCCTCCAGGCCTGGAGTTGGACACCCCTGCACTGACTGGATCCCTGGCTGCTCCAGTCTGCATGCCAAAGTATCCTTGGATACTGAACCAGCTGATCGGAGTATGAATGTGTGTGAATGCATAAGCGCTGCTGCTGTATAACGAGAGACGACGTGTTTGTTTTCTAATGATGAGCGCTGTTACAATCCCAGCTTAAAGCAGCATGTTATTAAAGACAGGCCTACCCGCGTCAGCAGGCAGCCAGTGTCCTTGTTTTCCCAGTCCCATCCACAAGTTGGCAGCAGCAGAAAGCATAAAGTCAAGTCTAATGAGCTTGGAAAGCTCGTTGAAGACGGGAAGCTTCCTCAGAACTGAAGAAGCTTCTCGGATGAGATCTTAAAAACGTCTTTGAGAAACTTAAAGAAGTCCAGACGCTTTTCTCTCCAAGCTCCTTGGACTATGAGGACGTGGACGACTGAGATCCTTCACAGACATAAACCCAAGGACTCACAAACAGCTGGTGTTAGGGCTGTGCAATGTGACCAAACTCTCATATAAGACATTTCTCATCCTGATAACCACACGTCACAAAGTAGTGCTTTCACTGTAAACTCTGTGATCTCGACTCGACCTGTGTGAAGTGTTTCCAGCTGGGCGTCGTGTACCTGGGGTCGAGTGTGTTGGCCCACGCATGAAGCTAACATGTTTAGATGTAAGTTGTTTCTTTGTGAGTGTTTATTACACGGCGTGCTGCGGGGGAAAGCCTGTTCTAACGTTTGAGTCTGAGCTTTATTTGGAGCAGCTGACGGCTCTTTCTCGTACTGTCACGCGATTCTTGTGGGGGCGGTAGAAGAGAAAGAAATATTGCCATAAATGTGTATTTTGCAACAATAAGATGTTTTCATCCGGTGTAGTTCATCATATCACTCATCATACAGACCTGTGACACAGTGTCTGACCGGACAGTGTTTGTATTTCTTTCTAATCACTGTGACCTCCTCTAGGCACCGGGCTGCTCGGCCACTGAGGACAGCTGTTTGTAGCTGTGCTTGAACTGGAACGATGACGGATGGAAATTTTAAAAAAGCTTGAATATGTTGTGTCCATATAAATAAGCTCTTAAATTTGTTCTGTACTTTGTTTTTCTACCTTTTGAGTAGGCTTTCTTTGATAAAACTGTGACTATCTTGCAAAGTTCCTCTACATGAGGTTGTCTGGCCTGTGATACGAACGTTTGTAAAGAAAGCAGGTTGGAGACGCTGCACTCTGAGACCTGGCTTCAGCTCAGATCTGCTGTGGGTCAAGAAAATGTTTTATTTTTCAATCTTTTAAATTATGACAGAAGACAAATTGAAGATGATGCTCTTTCTTTCTGTTGTGTGTAAGCTTATCTTGTAACTGCAGCGTTTTCAGGTTTGTCAGAAGAATGCACTAGTTACTGTTAATTATTGCAAATATACTGGCTCATAAATCTTAGAACATGTATTACCTCCACACAGTCATTTTATATATACATATATAAATGTATATGTATGTGTATATATAAGCATATGTGTGTGTTTGTACACACACACTCGATGTGGCATTTGCAGTTACATAGCTACAAAGTATGTAAATCATACGCTGGAGAGAATGAAATGGTGAGAAACAAATGTAAGCAGTGACACGTTGTCTTCTTTTCACTGTTATTTCTTATAAACAATAAAGTTATTTTCAAAGCACCCTGCCTTCATAATGTTGAGTTCATTCAGGGCCTGACATGTCTGTGAGCCCTGTCAGTTCTTGGGATACTTACTGATCAGTGTTCACTAACAGCAAATGAATGAACTTGCTCCAGGTTGCAGCAGCAGGTCATCTGCGTTCATATCGTCCTGTTCCGAGCATGGTCTGTTGTTACCTGGCTGGACTGCATCCCTGTGGTCTTCCTCTCCTCCTGCCTGGCAGCAGTTCATGTATAAACCATGCCAGCCGCGCCTCTGTCTCCAAACTCCCGCCTGTGCTGTCCCTTTGATATCTTCATTACTCACTACAAACATCTCACGCCCTCCAGCTCCGCCTCTCGTCAGTGCTGCGTCTCGGGCCCAAACATCAGAGCGGCTCTCGCTGCCATCTTGTAAACCTTCCCTCTCAGATATTACACCAACACCTCTCCACCCTACCTGCACCTTCACCTCCTCTCTTGTGCACTGCTGCGTTGGGCTTTTGACACCAGGAATTTAAGCCTGCCCACATTCACTACTTCCACTTGTTACAGTTTCACCTTTCCACCCGCCTCATGTTCTTTTACCCATTTTCATTGGTCTTTCTGCACAGACACTGTAGCTCAGTGTTGTCTGTGGGTATCACAGGCCATACAGACTTCATCTGTTGCACCACCCTCACTTTTCTGTGCTTCCTAACTTCCTCACACAGCATCACAGGTCTTGCCTCAGCTCTATTGTATATTTTCTGTAGCTGACAGACGGTGCAGCAGCTTTTTGTTTTCTTGATACTTCTGCATGAATAGAAAGCAAATATCACATCTGTAGTGCTCCGTATGAATCAGCAGGCCGTGCTGCATGCTGATTATCAGATCTCTTCGCTGCATACCTTGCAGTGGTGTGGCACGGCTGCTTATTGGATCATACATGGTCTCAGTAGTTGAAACCTGCACCGTTATTTTTCCTGTCAAAATGTTCTTGTTATCTCAATTCTAGTGAACCACTGAACTAATGAGTTCTTGAACTTGGGCCGAAGATAACTGAAGGACTCTTTGTTAAACTGTTGTTGTCCTAGTCATGCTTTGGTTTGCATCGAGTGCTCTCTCGGAAACATCCCACAAATGCAGTGAACTGAGAGTAAGTCAGAAATACTGATACTTATCATGTGACTTGACGTCATCATTGCAATAAAAGCCTTGTGATATGGTTGTTCGGGGGAGATCAGCTCTGAAAGGTTTATGATGCTCATCTTCCCCACATATATGTGTATAATAAATACCACTATTTTGACATCTACTGAGGACCATGCAGTCGTTTGTCTCCTCCTCAAAAACTCGAACCTTGACAGTTCAAAGCAACAGTCGCTGTGGTGAATGAGCCGCTTCCTGACATCTAAACCAGCGGTGCGCAGCCTCTTTTGCTCCCCGGACGGTTTAACGTCAGACCGTCACGGAGCGGCCTTTAATGTGTGGCGGACAAATGCAACAACAAAATGATACGACCGAGAGAACCGCGGCGGTATTTTGTAACTATAACAGTAAACGTGAATTCACTGTGTGTGTATTAGCAGCGTGCTCCTGAAACGCGCCAACACTGACGGTAACGTCCTCCTCTCTGCCCCTTAATGCTCTCTGGTCGCTATGGTAACGGGTACATATTTCTTTCAAAATAAGACGCACCTACAACACGATAAACCCCCTGGAAACCATACATTTCACACCCGAGCTTCAACTCTCGCGGCCCGGTGCCAAACGACTCACGGACCGGTACCGGTCCAGTGCCCGGGGACCGCTGATTTAAAGCGAACATCCGCTGTATTACGAATATATAACAGATTCTTGTTCCAGGCAAAAGCTTTTATGTATTTGTCGTTAATTTAATAATTTTGCGAGAATATATTTGTAATGAACTGTGGAGCTGTTGTTTGACACGAGCCCACACCGGCACGTCCCTGAATGACTACTCCGGTGAAGGCCCAACGGTCATACAAACCAGATTTAAAGCGAACCGCTCGCTGTGATGGGACTTCTTCAACCGGAAGTGTCCCAATTTGTTCACGTACTGCGTGTCGCCATTTTCAAAACAGTTGAGCTTTGTTGCGCACGGCAGAATTGTTCAGCAGAGAAGTTTAAATAAAGACTCGGATTGAATAATTCAAGGTACAGCCCTTAGTGATCGTCTGGGGTTTATTCTACTGGGAGCGCTCCTGTATCGCAGCGTGCTTCACTAATATTACAGGAACTAGTTACCTTCTCTGGAGCACATTAGCAACCTTAGCTAGGCTACAGCTAGTTACATTCCGGTAAACACTGTTTAAGAAGACTGAACGTTAGTTGCTGTTAAGACGTAGAGCAGTTGTTTGACGACACAGTGAAGACACCACGCGTTACCGTGTCCGGCATCACGTGGTGCTTCCTACACTAGTTGATGTTGTAATAAAAACATTAGCTTTTTACACAGTAGTCGGATAAACTGCAGCTTTGTGTGAGTCTTTCTCGTGCTGCCGGCGCACAGAGTGAGTACGGTATAAACGCAGTTTCAGTGAAAAGTACCAGTGATAAGTTGTGATAATGCTGCAGGCCTGATTGTGTGTTTGGACATGAAACGATTAGAGCTGTGGTTGGTGCAGTCGCCCTGAAACCAACATGATGGAGCTACCCAACTACAGCAGCCAGCTGATGCAGCAGCTGTGGGCCTTGAGGAAGGAGGAGCACTTCTGCGACTGCACCATCTTGGTGGGAGAGGGTCGTCATCGCGCACATAAACTGGTGCTGGCTGCCTCCAGCATGCTTTTCAGGTAGACCTGGCGACTCTTCTGCAGTCACATATTTGGACCTTACAGTCGTTCATCTAATCTCAGCAGCGCTCATGTTGGCTCCTGTGGAAGAATGATGAGTCAAATTCAGCTCATGAACTTTTAGTTTGGTTTTTTGTCAGGTGGACAGAAATATTGGCTTTTTAAAAAATGTATTTATTGAGGACCATGAAATCTAACACGTGAGTAAAGTTTATGACCAGCTGTTACAGATGTGCTCTTTGTGTTTGCTCCCGTCATACTTTAATATTGATCCCAGCACGGTGTACAGGTGGCTGCTGCAGTCGCTGTTCGCTTTTATTACACTGCAGCTTAAAACCAGAACGGTGCTGTCTCCGTCAGGTCTCTCCTGGATGGCTCCGACACCATCTCCATCGACACAGCTGTGGTTTCCTCGCAGGAGTTTGGCTGCCTCCTGGACATGGTCTACACTGGTAAACTGCCTCCAGGTAAACACAACGTCAGTCGCATAGTCGCCGCTGCAGACAGCCTGCAGATGTATGACGTGGCCGTTGGCTTTAAGCAAGTCCTCACCAGCCTGGTGAACCAGAAGCCCCCGGTATCAGTGAGCTCCGCTGTGCCACACCTCACCGTGACCAACAAAGCCCCGAATATGAAGCCTGAAGGCTCAGCCTCGCCCAGCAAGCACAACCCGTCTTCAGACGAGGCGGAGGTGACGGACGAGCTGAAAAAAGAATCGTTTGAGCATGACAGCGATGACGCAGACGGGCCGGCGATTAAAAGGGCCCGCGTGGAGCTCCCTGACACATCAGGTCATTCTTATGTTTAAACCCGTAGTTTGGGGAATTTAATAGTGTGAGTCAATCTAGGAATAATTCAAATCACACGTTACTGGAAATAGAGTCTAAAACAGGCGTGGGCAACGGCAGGCCTCGAGGGCCGGTGTCCTGCTGGTTTTAGGTGTGTCCCTGATCCAACACAGCTGATTGACCTCCAGATGTTCTCCAGAGGCCTGCTAATGAGCTCATCATGAGATTCAGGAGTGTTGACCCAGGATGAGATCTTAAACCTGCAGGACACCGGCCCTCGAGGCCTGGAGTTGCCCACGCCTGGTCTAAAATAGTCTCCCTACAATAAACAAGATAACAACTAGACTTTATTTTCTGTCCACAGGGCCCGAAGACATCAAATCCTCAGAAGGTGGCGACACGTCGGCAGCCAGGCTGTCCAGCGAGTCTGGTCTCCTCGCCAACATGTCGTCTGTTGTGGAACTGCTGAGCCAAGCAGCAGAGAGCCTGACAGAAAGAGAGCGACAGGTACAACAGGAAGCCCTGGTTCTTCTACAGTTTGACTCCATCTAATACCACCTTAGCTCACGGCTCGGCTACCTTTAACACCCAAAGAGCCGTTTGGACCCGGTTTCATAAAAAAACCCACCGAGCTGCAAACACTCACATCCAAAATGAAGATGCCACTGTAAATACTGCTCTTTGACCTTCATGCTTTGTATAAACAACGACATACAAAGTGTGTTGCTTATGAAACACATGAAGTGCTACAGAGAAAACTACATTTTCTTTATGTACTAAAATACTAACAAGAAACCAACACAATAAAAAGCTGGAAGGATTCACGTAGCAAACTAACGGTCATCGCGCCTCTGAGCTTCCTGAGCCTCGAGCTGAATTTAAGAAATACATTGGAAACAAATCTCTGTGTCACTGAAAAATATCTGCATCATCATAAATATTAATCTTACCTGGTTAACGGGACAGTGGGATCGACACTGTATGAAGTTCCCGCTGTCGTCTGTGAGGCGTGGGTGGAGAGCAGCTGCTCACCTCCGTCTGTGGAGCTGAAGAGCCACACGTTCGTGTCGGGATGCCGTTCCACGTCTCGGTTATCTCAGCATCACTGCAGTTATTCTCAGTGACAGTGGCCTCCTGAGGTGAAGTGTGGCGCTTGTTTGACCGACGAAAAATAGTCAAATATAATTTAAATTTAATAATTCAAGATCACAGTAATCTCCCAGTGTAGAAGTCACTAACACTAATAAACACGTTTCAATTAAATACTATTAATTTATTTAATGTATTCATTGTCCCAGGCCCCGCGTGGCTCCAGAGCCGCAGGTTGAGAACCCCTCCCTTGCACGTTGTTTAACATGTTTGTATGTTGTGACTTTGAGCCCTGAACAGTAGCTCTCCAGGATGTCCCCCTTTGTTGGACTCAGTGTCACTCGAGCATGAACCGAAGCACAGTTGTGGCTCCACATAGAAGACGACGACAGTAACAGTGTATCTCTACGTACTGGAGCCAAAAGCACATTTCTGTTCCCATTTCACTGACCGCATCACCTCATGGTCAGCGTACTGTGAGCGCACAACTCACTCTGAGCTAAAGCTGTGACGTCTCTGTGGGACATGCTAGTGCGGCTCCTGGCTGTAGCTCGAGGGCGCCATCTACTGACTGGAAGGTTGCTGCTGCTCCACAATTTCATTTTGTTTGCACTTTGTGCTCTCTCAGGTTGTGTGTCGGTGCTGTGAGGAGGCTGATCCCAGCTCCGTGTCGGAGAAGCTGATGAGTAAAGTGAAAGAGGGTCAGATCGGAGAGGAGGGGCTTATCAAGCTGCTGCGCACCGCCAAGCAGAAAGCTTCATCGTCCTGTCCCACACAGCTGCTCCCTCTGCTGGAGGAGCTGGAGAGGAGCGTACAGCAGCCCGATGGCAGCCACACTGGAGGTAAAGACGAGCACCGGGAGTAACATGAAAGACGATGTGTCAGTGTAGGTCTGTCTTCATTAAGGACAGCTCGGTATTTATATACATTTGTGTCCGTCCAGCAAATGGACAGGATGTGATAGGAAGCTTTTTTAGTGGATGTCTTCTACGTATTTTGAGTCTGTCGTCCATGTTTGCAGCTGACTCAGAGCAGGAGAACAGGAGTGAAGATCGTGTCCAGGAAGAAGATGAAAACGGTGACGAGGCGGAGAACAAGGAGGAGGAGGAAGATGCAGCTGTAGCAACCGAGTGTTCCCCTCCCTGCTCCTCTCCTGCTTCCTGTCACGCCAAACCTTACTGCTGTCACTGGTGTAAGAAGAGTTTTGATTACAAGTGTCGAATGCTAGCACACATGAAGCGCTGCTCCATGTCCCAGGAGTGTGAGCAGCAGTGTCCCGAGTGTCCTGAGAAGCTGTCTAAGCGGGCCCTGCAGCGCCACCGGGCCGAGGCTCACCGCAGCGCCACGCGGGTCAAGAAGAAGACGGCCTGTGACCTCTGCGGCCGCACCTTCGCCCACCCGTCGGGTAAAGTCACGTGACATTAAAGCAAGATTATTGATGTGATCAGTGTCTGTGCTGGAGCAAACAGCGTGCTGATCTCACAGCTGTTCTCAGGCTGAGATGTGAGGGCTGCATCCACAGTGTTGGTGTTTGATAATGATCAGAGCAGGAACCGTCGATGAGGTACTGACGTGTTTCTTATTATGGCTTCTGGTTTCAGCATTTACTATACAGAAGCGTCACAAGCAGTAACACTACCTGAATTATCAGGCAAATATGAATGTAATGAAAACATGGGGCTGCTGGTTTAATCCCAGTCAGAGATGGAAGCTGCGAGCTGGCAGCCAACACTGCTAGCTGCTGCTGTGCTTCTGTTTCTTTTGTTGAGTGGAGTATAACTTTGTGCTGCTCTACATTTGATGTTGCTGTTAGGCTACAGTCTAAATCTCAAAAGGACCTGAAACAGGTCATTTCACCAGCAAAGAAACCTTCTAAGGCAGGAACACCGTACCTGACAGATGTGTGGTTTCCCCGCTGTGCACTCGACTCTGGTCAGCACAGCTGCAGTGCGTACAGCGTAGGCAGCAAACGTGTGCTGCCGTGTGCAAAAGGACTGTGGGAAAGATCACATCTGTCGTAACATGAACTCTGAGCTCAGTTTGGGGCCAGCTCGCGCGTCACAGCACAGCGATCGTTTCACTTTGTTCCATTTAATGAGTGCTTCTCATCTCTTAGGTATGATTTACCACAAGCGCACTGAGCACTTTGAAGAGAAGCCGTTTGCGTGTGATGAATGCGGTGCGAAGTTTGGTGCAAACTCATCTCTGAAGAATCACATGAGGCTGCACACAGGGGAGAAACCCTACCACTGCAAGCACTGTGACATGAGCTTCAGCGTGGCTGCTGCACTTGCATACCACACCAAAAAGAGACACTCTGAGGGTAAGACACACACACACACACACACCTTTGGGGTTGTGTGATATACAAGTGGTGATATGTGTCTTTCACGTGTAACATCTTGTCACTGATACAAGAACAAAACAAAGATTCAACATCCAGGACAAACCAGAGAGATAAAGTGTTGAGACTTCAAACCCACAGAGTTATGATGATGATGTTATTGATAGGTGACACACCTATCACCAAGGAAACCAAGGGGAGAAAGAGAGAGGAAGGAGGGATCGCACAAAGCGTGGAGGTTGAAAAGCTCCGTTTGGCTGGCTGTGATATCCACCTTAGTGGTGTCAGTGTGGAGCTGTAGAGTCCCGCGCATCATCACAGTGCACCAGTATGGTTCTTTTGTTCCAGTTGAGGTGACTGTGCTGTTGTAGTGGGCAGGGCTGTGGTCAATACTTTTAGGTCTGTGTTTATTAAAGACAGTGGGCGACCACTGCAGGGTTAGACTGGGTTTTAGGAGAGTGTTACTGGGAGACAGAGCTCAAAGAGCAGCTTTAAGCCTGAAGCCTTTTCCCAAAAGCATGAATCAAGGCTGAGCTGGACCCAAGGACCTGTGCTACACAGCTCGTTTGCTTCATCTGGATTCACCCTGACATGTCCATCAGGTTCTGACTCTGTAAACCAACCCGGGGTTTCCCCTTCACGTCCACATGAAGGTGTGCTGTCGGCAGGATCGGGCTAATCTAAGAGATCACGTGTCACAGATCATGTGACTCAACAGGAACATTATCAACTGGTGATTCAAATCTATAAGGAACATAGGAATATAACAGTAAACTACAAGGTCGTATAATTATCACATTAAAAAGTCTGCTGTGATGCTGGAGGTTTGTGTTGCTAGAGAACAGCAGGAAACAAGGATAGGCTTGGTGACACTGGTTCCCACTGGAGACACTGGTTCCCACCAGAGATACTGGTTCCCACACAGTGGGAGGACGTCACTGCCTTCAAAGATGAAGCTGAAGGATCACACTTCAGATGAATCTTGGATTGATTTGTGGAAATTTGTTGAATAAAGTTGAATATAAAGTTAGAAATAAGAAACACACCAGCACACATGACAAAAGAAGAGGAATCTAGTGGTGGTGGAATAGCTGAGGAACATGGAGTGCTTCATCGGCAGTCACACTACCTGGAACAAGCCTTTCCCAGCAGAAACACAGGCTGAAGACTGAAATGCTTTCAGATGTTTGTAGAATTTGATGAATGAGCTTAATGGTATAAGATCAGCAACCAGCCAGCTGAAGTGTAAAAAGCAGCAGTAGTGAAAAATGTGCTAAATGAAGCCGACAAAGTACCTAAACGGAGTTTCATTTGGTGAAATGTGCAAAACATAACAAGCAGAAGGTGCTGCGGTTCATCCAAACGCAGAGAGGCAGCTGAGCAGGCAGCTTATAACCACCCGTGTGAGGCTGATGTGCGTCGCAGCCGCGCTGAAGACACGAGCGTACAATGTTTTTTAAAGCAGCATTTCAATAATAATCCTGCAGAGAAGCTGAGAGTCGCACAGACGCACAGAGGTTTGTGCGACTCAGCTCGAGTCTGTGGACAACAAAACACAACAGCGTAGCCAAACTGGGCAGTTTCCAGTCTGGCTGTGCTGTTTTGTACTTTTCTGCCCACCTTTAAGGCCTTTGGGTCTCACTGCATCTGTGTGATGACGGCGCGGCGGCGAGCCAATCAGAGGGTGTCCTGGCTCCTCCAGGCTGTTTGCTGTGCAACACCCAGAAACCAACAGCATGCACAGATGCAGTATTTCTATCATGCAGCATGTACAGACAACATTTGTGTGCTTCTTTGATTTTCCAGGGAAGATGTATGTGTGCCAGTACTGCAAGGCTGTCTTCGCCCAGTCCATAGAGCTGACGCGTCACGTGCGGACGCACACGGGAGACCGGCCCTACGTATGCCGAGAGTGTGGCAAAGGCTACAGCCAGGCCAGCGGGCTCACTGTGCACCTGCACACCTTCCACCGTAAGAACGTTTTTGCAGTAAAGTTTGGAAAAGTAAATCTGCGTTTACATACTGGCTTCTCTAACATATGGCACTGATGCTCCATACATGCAGCTGGTTTTGGGGTGAGGCACTTTTCATTTAACAGCCATGTTGTCAAAGGCGGACGTGTTCCTGTAGCGGCTTCAGGCCGACTGCACCTGTACGTCCCAGCTGATCGCTGCCCTGTGACTATTATTGACACGTCAGACGTCGTGTCTTCAGCCTCGCAGACGGCCTCTCAGGTCCTGCCGGGGCCTCACATCTCACCAATGCCAGTAACGGTCTCATATGTACTAATGGTGTGAAACCCAGTAGAAGCGTGGATCAGATCTGCTGCCTGGGTCTTCACAAATCACCTTCATCATCACACTGCAGCCGTGTTTCCCCACCTGATGGAGCCACAGCACGTAGGTGTGCCGTGTAGCTGCAGCCCGACTTAAACTCGTGCCAGTTATCAGAACACATCATGAAGGGGTTGCACCAAGGTTCAGTTTCCTTTCCTTACTGGGAGCAATGGGATTCTTCAGGGAATGCACCAAACACTGTGGTAGCTTGTGTGTGCTGGTCAGGTTTCAGTGACTGTGTGTTTGCTCTGTGTCAGACCTGTCGGAGCCCCACGACTGTCAGAAGTGCTGTCTCAGCTTCTCGTCGCTGGACGAGCATCGGCAGCACATCCAGGAGTTTCACCCCAAGGAGTTCCACAAGTGTCCCACCTGCAGTAAGCTGTTTACCAGCGCCGCCCTCCTGGACAAACACAAGCCTACGCACACTGGGACAAAACCCTTCAGCTGTGATCTCTGCAACAAGTCATACCAGGTACACCGAGCCAGTTGGACACCGTGACGACTCCATGTTTGTAGTCTTAGCTGTGTCAGCAGAGGACAACACACTGCACTGAACACTGTGAAACGCTGTGATATGGATGCTGGTGGGCGACCTGCACTGTTTGCTTTGATAGCGCTCCAGCGTCCGTTCTTTTTATCATGTGGTTCAGACAGAAATGGCGAGAGCGGGCGTCTCCTCACTTCTCCACACGTGAGCAGTCAGTGCGGCGCCTGTACGGGGACAGCGGGGTAAAGAGTGACGAGCACGGCGCTGATCTGAAACACGTTGGAGCAGAGCAGCTGAACATATATAAACGGAGCACAAACGTACAGTGACCTGTGTCAGCTCAACTTTATTCACACAGCGCCAAATCACAACAATGGTCGACTCCAGGCGCTTTATACTGTAAGGTCGACCCTCCAATAACACACAACAATGTCACACAGCAAACAACAAATATTTGCAGGTCCAGTGAAGTAAAGGCAGAGGCAGCAGCTACTTCCTGTGTGGGCCTGTCAATCGATGCGTGGCTTCACCAACAGCGTGTTACAGATTGTGTTACCGTGCGTGGCTGAGGATGGGCTCAGTGCAGTGTGTTGGATTCATGTTTCAGCTGTGGAGGCCTCTTAGACCCACACAGGACAGTATTGGGCAACTTGTGACTGCACAACTAAACGCACACATTCATGTGTCATCTTCACGTGTATTCACACACATGTGTGCTACATGTGTGCGTCTTTGACATCTCTCAACCTTTCTTTTGCCATAGCAACTGTCAGGACTGTGGTACCACAACAGGACTAACCACCCTGATGTGTTTGCCAACCACACCCGGCAGCTCAAGAACCTGGTCCAGTGCGATGTCTGCTTCAAGTTCTTCCCTAGTTCTGTCAGTCTGGCCAAACACCAGGCTGCTGAGCACCAAGGTGAGCGCCAGCCCCGCACTGATGCACTGTCCTGTAACAGCCGGTCCTGGACGTGCACTGTCCTTCACTGGAGCTCCAACAAAAACACAATCTGTCTGTAATTCAAAGACACAATAATAATAATAATCTCTGCGTTTGCAAAAGATCCCAGAGAGTACACTGTACAGCTGTCAAACGGCAGAGGGCATGTCCACCATTCGTTTACAGATGTAAAAACACAAATATTAATAAAACATTTATTTCATTTGTCTTTAACCCTTGTGATGTCCTCCCGATTTGCATACAATGAAGTTCCTCAGGGGTCAAAAATGACCCGTGGACAACACAAGGGTTAAAATCTTAGGCCTCCTGTTGCAGTGTTCTCTGTAATCGTCTGTGTGCAGACTGACCGCCTCTGGCCCTGTGTCAGTTTGTTCAACTTTATTTACACAGCACCAAATCACAGCCACAGTCGCCTCGAGGCGCTTTATTTTGTACAGTAGACCCCACAATACTACATACAGAGGAAACCCAGCAATCATGTGACCCCCTGTGAGCAGCACTTTGGCGACAGTGGGAAGGAAAAACTCCCTTTTAACAGGAAGAAAGCTCCAGCAGAACCAGGCTCAGGGAGGGGCGGGGCCATCTGCTGTGATTGGTTGGGGTGAGAGAAGGAAGACAGGATAAAGACATGCTGTGGAAGAGAGACAGAGGTTAATAACAGATATGATTCAGATAGCTGGTGTTGGGTCTGTGTTTCCACGAGCCCCGCTGCTTTAGACACTTACTCCTCTTGAAGAAAACAAGACAGTCGGTGTCTGCCACAAAATGACCTGACGACGGCCTCCGCTTGCTGCCTTTTATTGAAAACGTTCACAATATACAATAGTACCTCCCCTCGTGAACCCCCCCCCCCGGTTACAAACAGAAGGCACTGCGTGCGTGCGTGCGTGCGTGCGTGTGTGTGTGTGTGTGCGTGTGTGTGTGTGTGTGCGTGTCCAATGCATGCTTCACCACAGATAACACAGTGAGGCCATACAAAGGGCAGGAACCAAACAGGGGAGGTGTGATCATCCTCCCCCCGCACAGAGTGGCTGGAGAGGTGGTCCGGGACAAAGGAACGTCTTGATCCTACAGCTTGAACTCAGACCTTACAAATTTAAGAAGCACAAGGACAACATTCAACAATTAGACTGAACAGCTGGGGTGGGCAGTGAGGCGGATATACTCGATGCTTTCCACGTACGATGGTTAAAATGATCATAACCATCGAGTAGAAGTTGCCATGGCAATATTAAGCTGTCTGCATGTAATGCGAGTTGATTTTCTCCCACACTCTGTGAATGCATCATTTATTCCCCCCTCCCAACCGGAACGTTTCCTCATTTTCTGCAGGACAAATGCAGTGTTTTAAACATGTGAACGTCTCCCCACAGAACAGGATGAATCCACCAGCTGTGACACCTGTGACTGTTCCACGCATACCTCTGGTTTCTGTACCTGAGGTCATCTCATGTTATGAGCACAGAGAGCACCTTATTATTTCAGTAGTTTGGTCTCATGAATCCTTGCTGTGATTGTAGTTAAAGCTCAGTGTTGCCCACAGACACCGTCACAGTACAGTCACTGTGGAAAACCTCTGTGTGCCCCTGGTGGTTAAAACAACACACGTCAGTTCATATAACGGCGTGGTCGAATGAGTGTACCACTGCGGTTGTAGGCCCTGTGTGGTTGAATAAACACTTGTTTGTGGGGGTTATGGTGTACTGTGAAATGGCCAAAGAAATTCTGTGACATCAGTGTCACCCAGGCCTGGCTCCAGTCCCCCGTGACCTGGGTAAGTGGATGGTTGGGATTTCCTGTGTTAGGTCTTAGAGAGGCAGCTGGTGGTTTAATGAATCACAGCAGCAGCTCCTGTGCTGTTGTCACTGACCCCGAGTGTCTGTGCTGCAGGCTCTGTGGCTGTGCTGGGTGGAGATGAGGACATGCAGGAGAACATCTGCACGCAGCATATCAGCAGCGAGGCATTCAGGTGCTCCCTCTGCTCCACGCTCTGCTCCTCTCAGCTTAAGCTGCAGGAGCACCTGCTCTCCTGCCATGTGGAGACACAGCAGGAGCAGGAGAGCCGGGAGGAAGAGCAGGCCTCCACCTCCAACACGGTAACAAGCACATCACACAGACGTACAGATGAAGATGAAATAATAATGTCCCGTTCCTGACTGACAGCATGTGGAGTGAAGTGTGTCCTGTATTTGTCGAACTTTGAGGCTCATCAGGATGATGGTGGAGTACAGTTTGTTCAGCTCAGGTGCATCCTGGGAGAATTTGCAGCATTTACTTTTCAAACCAAGCTGAATCAGCGTATCTGACCAACCACATCGCTGCATTTGGCTCAAGTGAGATAGTCAAATAATGCTGTTTTACCTCAGACACACAGCGGGGCGCCGCTCTGGGCCATGATGTCACTGCCGCCTCAGTGTGGTCCCAACACGACATCCTGAAATACGTGAGCAGCCGTGATCCAGCTGAAACTCCTCCCTGCATGCAACAGGACTCTGTTGCTCTTCCTGTGTACAAACATGCTGACTCGATGTTTCTGCAGCAATGAGTCGACTGGTTGATCCATGTGCGCTGAGGTTTGTCTGGCTGATGAACGGATGACCCGATCATGCAGTCACACTGCTCCACTGTGCTGTGTGTTTAGCTTTCTAATATTAATAACAACAGTAACACAAAACTGTGATTGGTTACAAGTTTGATATGATGCTTTCCATTCACTTCATGTGTTTCCTGCACACTGTAACCAGAATGTGCCACAGACCAGTGAAAGAGTTCACTTGCTGCCCCAGAGTACAGGGGGGCCGTTTCTATGGATACAGCGTAACAACATGGGGATGGTTGGTGATAGTAACGCCTGTTTGTGGCACATTAGTATATGTGAGGGGCAAACTCCTCCAGGTGGGTGGTGACCATGGCCATTTAGAAGTCGGCCATCTTGGATACAACTTTTGTTTTTCAGTAGGAAGAGGGCCATGTGACACATCAGACTTATTGGTAATGTCACAAGAACAACAATGGTGTGCTTGGATTCAGCTTTCAGAGCCTTTCCTGAGTGTGTGTGAGACGAGCGCTGGTTTGTCACTTCTAAACTAAAACAAGTTGTGGGTTTACTGCGTGCAGAAAAGCTGGAAACAGTTTAACCTTTACAAAACGTACACTATCTCTGTCTGACCCCACAGGTGATACCAGCCAATCCAACAGGGAGCAGACAGGAAGGGGCGGAGTCTGAGGAGCCAAGGCAGCAGGGGGTTGGTCAGCAGGTGTTTCTAGCTCTGGCAGATGGGCGAGAGGTGAAATCATCAGCAGAGCTGGTGGAGGTGAACATGTACGACCTTCTGAACAACTCTGTGGCCTTCACCTGCGAGGACAAACCAGCAGGTTGCGACTCTTAGCCGACCCACAAACACGCCTGCAGAAAACATCAGCAACACTGGCTGCTGCGCTCGTCTGTCCCACAGTCCCAGCTGATGACAGCCCGACGTTTTCAGTCTGCATAGGAGGTTTGTGTTGCTTTAAAGACATGACAGCAGTGCTGCTCTGTGGCTCTCAGCACTCAGATCTCTGCATGTACACGTCTGTATTGTCCCTTAAGCAGTGGGAGCATTTGTTAGACTCCAGGCGTGGGACTAAATCACCAAACCGTGAAAGTTTATGGTCACTGTGGACTGGTACCTGTGAACACTAATAAACATGAAATACCTGACGCTGCTCTGTGGAATGGTTCCTGCTGTTGTACGAATAAAACGACTGCATTTAAGATTTCTCGCATCAAATACTTCACACCTGTTTATCCTGTTCAACGGTCAGTATTAGCTCACAAACGATCGTTAATTGCAAATAAAGAGAGATGTGGCTTTATTACAGATGTGTTCCCTTATTTATTACAGGTTCACAGAAGCAAAGAGCTGAAAGGGTCACATAAATACAAACACCCACTGTGGTCAGCTCATGAACAGCAACCCTGAGACAAATCCACGCCCAGCTAGTTATCCTCAGGACAGTCCGACGACTCCAGCTTGTCACCTGCTCTTTGAGCTCGAAATGAATAAAATCCATGTTTTAGGATAGACTGTGCCGGGAAAGGATCGTCTCTAGACTAGATGTGATCTTTGGTTTGTCCTTCACTGAAACTGGAGTTCTCACAAATAGAAGACGAGTCTGTATTTGACAGATTGTGTTGTTGTATCAGACACAGTAAGAAAGACCTGCCTGCTGTCTCAATCACTGCAATCAGCTTTTTATGTTGCACTTTATATTTGCATAAGCCAGCAGCTAACATGGATGAAGAATGTGGAAGCAGACGTCTTCCTCCCCTCACCCAGATGGCCCCGCCCCTCCCTCAGCCTTGTCTGCATCGTTTCTTCCTGTTAAAGGGAGTTTTTCCTTCCCACTGTCACCAAAGCACTTGCATATAGACACTGAGCACGTGATGTCATTTCCGGGGTAAAACCGCAAAGGATTGTAGGTACGAGTGGCGAGCGGTACTAGAGCACGCAAGCTTTCATATGGAAGCAGTCACACAGCGATGAAAAGAAACACAAAAATGGCAAGAAGCTGTTGTGTTATTAACTGCCCATATGGAAAAGAAATAATAAAAACTTATATGTGATTACTCATGAAAGTGGCCACTTTCTCATTACTTTCATACATTGTTTTAGTATCCAAAACATACAAGTTTCATTATATCATTTTTCAAGGGATCTTATATGTTTTCACTCTTGTATGCTTTTCATACAAGTTTCACACAAGACAGATACAAACTTTATAAGATTTATAGATATCTTTTCCATATGGGTGCAATAGCCGGTCACATGACGGCCACAGGAAGCCAACGGGTAAAGAGATCATTGTTATCGGATTACATCATGGAAGCCACGTTTCCGTAGTAACAAAGAGCTGACGGATGGCCTGGATTGCAGCCATTCAAAGACCAAATGTAACGTCCCAGAACGCTGCAGCTCACAGGTTAGTCTGCTCCAAGCATTCACACAGAGGTCAGTCTGCTGTTGTAGTTAATGCGTCATTTATCACAACATAATTGGTGATGTAGGTGACAAATAAGTCTTAATTTGAATTGAATTCGTTGCTTTGCTGCTTTGTTCACGGTGGCTTTGCGGGTTTGTTGTGTTTGTAGGAAAAGCAGCCTACAAAATGCAGGAATGTGATCCAGACTGGGCCCCTCCATCAGCCTGGGTTTAAAGCTGCTACCACAGCCAGACCTGATCGGTGAAGAGAGAGCGAGGTCCAAACAGCCACGAAACGTCCGCATATATGTCCCCAAGGGTTGTATTGAAGCAACCAAGTGATGAATAACTGTTTTCCAGTTTGTTGTTTTGAGCTCATGGGGGTCACATGATTGTTGGGTTTTCTCTGTATTACTGTGGGGTCTTTACTTTAAAATATAAAGCGCCTTTCAGGCGACTGTTTCTGTGCTTTGGTGTAAAGTTGAACTGTATATCCAGTTAACATGTTTAAATAGTTTACATTCATCTTCTGGATTACTGCGTCTCGAAATATCTGCTTTTCTAGAAAGCTGAAGATCAACCTTTGTGAACTCAGCTGAGTCTGCCCTGGATGCACCAACAGGGTTTGATGATGGTGGAAGTTAGAACAGCTTCTAGTGCAGGACACACTATCAGCCACGTCCATGATCCAGCCTGGAGCAGAGCAGATCGGACAGTGTCGGGTTGTTCTTAGCTGGTTGATACCAGCTGTAAATGTGCATAAAATCAAATCAGCCTTGTGAATCTGTGGAGAAGGCCACAGGGTTGCAATTTGAAAACGTTTTGGTAGACCTTTTGTGTCACAATGTAGCACCTATAAGAAGGCAAAAGGCAAAAAATATCATGAAACAATAAATATCAGAATTTTCATGTTGGTGTATAACCTGGTGTAGCTCCATGTTCTCACACAGTCAGCAGTAAATGTTCATCAGGCTGCACACAGTCTCACCGAGCATACACAGTGAACAGCAGTGAGACTCCACAGCCGCAGACACACAAAACCAGTCCAGGTGTGTCCACCAGCTCCACCTGTGGGACTCCAACAGTAGTCGGCAGCCATACTTACACACCAACCCTATAATGTTTCACGCTGCAGTTCTTCTACAGGCCACTAGATGGCAGCTACTTGTAGCACTCGAGGTATGAAGAAAAGGAAAAAGAACCTCTCCCAGAAGCTACGCCCTAAAATCCCTTATTTCAGTTGTAGTTTAATACAAATATAGCTCACCACACCACAGCTGCTAGCTTGCTTGCTAACAGTGATGACTGGTAAAGACATTTCACTCAGGGATAAATTCCACCCTTGCAAGGGTGCAAGTTAAAGAAGACTCTTTATTTCTTCATTATTCCTTTTGGATGTCTCTGCCATCTGCTTCTGGTTCCTAGCTGGTCAGCTTCTTGCGGGGTAGATAGGCATTAGTGATCTGGCTCATCACCACCAAGGCAGGGAATAGAGGCAGGATGAGGAAGGCCCACCACGCCACCCCCTTCGCCGTGGCCTGGAACCAGTCAGTGAACATGGCAGACATCACTGTCACGGTGGAAAACAGGTAGACAACCAGGCCGCAGGTGGCATGGTACAGCTTCAGTCTGGACGAGGGGCAGGAGAGACGCAGCAGCTTGGGGAAAATCACAGCGATGCCGCAGGCCGTTTGGAGCACGGTGGCGGTCAGCGTACACATACCCAGCAGGCTGTGCCAGGAGGCCAGGTGTGGGAGCTCCGACACATTCTTGCTGGCCACAATGAACCCAAGTCCAGTGGCTGCAGCGATCAGGACCAGAGCCTGACAGAACCAGTGGAGACGGACTTTACTCTTCCATGATTTGAAGCAGAAGGGAGATCCCTCTGCTGAGAACAGCAGGATACCTTCGGTCATGCACAGGCAGTACTGCAGTGAGAGGAAACAGATGTTAGTAAAGGGGCTTATTTGGTGATTAGTGGTGATACAGATCCAGCCATGAAAACTCAACAAGCGATTAATTAGATGTAGAGTTGTGGGAATTTATTCTAACGATCTAAACTCCTGTTTTTCTGCACATCAAGCTTTTCCCAGTTCATTCAAGGAGACAAAGTGTGTGCTGTGTACATGAGTGACATCTAATGTGATTGTGAATCAGAAACTGTAATACAGCAACGCACAGCACCAGCATATTATGGGATGGGCCTGTAAGTTGATGATTACAGACAGATGTAGCAGGATAAATGATGACGTCAGACATATGGACAATAACCCGAAGCTTTACCAAAGACTTTCTCAAGGCAAAGAAACAGAGTGTTGTTCAACTGCCAGTCAGCTGACCACAACCTGTTCAGCTACTCGAGTTTCATAGTAACTGCATATGTTGAATTAACATTCAGATCTGGTGCATTATTATGGCTGCCGGTCTCTGATGAGACTGAGAGAACAGCATACTCTAGCAGTGTGTAACACTAGGCCATACCATCATTTATTTATATAGCACTTTAAAATCAACACATGGCCGACCAGCAGACATAAAAAGTACAATAAGAGTAATAAATAGTTATTCTATAGTTTTTAACCTGGATTCAAAGACTGATGTAGACTCCCTAATGTGAAGAGGAAGATCATCCCAAAGCTTCGGGGCCACAGTAGAGAGCGCTCGGTCTCTAAGGTTCAGCCATGATTTAGGGACTGAGAGCAACAGCTGCTCAGCTGAGCGAATGAGGGGGGGCATAGGGCTGATATACAGGCGCCGGAGCATTTGAGGGTTTTAAAAACCAAGCATTTAAAAACCCTTTAAGTAGATTCTAAGTACCGGAGTAATATGCTCAAATGTTCTTTTACCAGTTACAAACTGTGCAGTTGCAGGCACGGCCAACCGCTATTACAAGGGAGTTGCAGTAATCCAAGCATGAGGTTATAAAAGCATGGATGACAGTTTCCAAGTCACGCCTGGAAAGAAAAAGCTTAACCTTCGACAGACGCATGAGGTGCCAGAAGGAAGACTTGACCACCCCGTTTGCGTGGCCATCAAAACTAAGCACAGAGTCAATTTTTACCCCAAGATTAGTAACCGAGCTTGTCGGGTGACAGTCAGAGCAGCAGAGTAACCTCTGGGGTACCAGAGGAACCGTTCCATTTTACGTTCATTAAAACTTAAAGAATTTAGAGCCATCCATGACTTAGCATCGCTAAGACGATCAAGCAGGAGTCCAGTCGAGGAGCTATCAGTGACTGAAAGGCAGATAAAGGCGGCTATCGTCAGCATTTGTTTAAATTTCTTGTTTTTGCATCCTGTGGCAGGAGATACAATGGAAACAGTAGTGGCCCAAGAATAGATCCCTGTGGTACACCCGACAGCAGAGGGGCCACAGACAAAATCTTATCCACGACAGTGCCAATGTGGAAATTCCCACACAATGCTGTAGTCGAGAGATCAGCAGTCAGAGCCACCAAAACAAGCAATACATGTTTACCACAGTTGTTGCTAACAAAATGTCATTCATAACCTTTGTGAGCCATCTCTGTGCTGTGAAACGGCTTCAAGCCAGACTGAGGAGCTTCTGGAATCATTCAGGTGATCCAACAGCTGAGTGGGAACAATCCTTTCCAGGATCTTACTCAGACTTTATCACTGCATCAGATATTTTGTATATATCACCCATCTCTAAGCTTCCTTCTCTGAGTGTTAACATACCCTCCCTCAAATCTATTATTTACAGTGGAAAGCTGACAGAGACTGGAGGAATGTAGTGGGCTGAAAGCTAGCAGGAAAAGAAGAGACCTGTTTTTGAGACAACATCTCCATCCATTATTTGAAATATCCCCTTAAGCAGCTTAGAAAGCCATGCGAGAAGAGCCACAGCTGCCCGTTTACTCCAGCGTGTCATTAGAAATATATGGCCATCGGCCGCGAGCGGTCGTGGGTGAGAGGAGTGAGACGAGTGTCTGTGTTTGTGTGAGGACTGGAAACTTACAGCCACAGACATACACATGGGATGCCAAGAGAACAGACCTGGAGAGACAAACAGCAGATTAATGACACAATCATCATGTGCTGCAGCTTCAACAGCAGCAAACTGACCGTCAGGAAAACCTAAACGTACCCACTCAAGGACACGCACTGTGATGCAACAGCTCAAACACGGGCTCTAATCTGCACTCGTTTACATCTTTATCATCAGAAACGGAATCATTTTGTTTACTGGAAGAAAACCATGATAATAATATTTATTTTACTACTACGTTGATCAGTAAAGAAGCCCACGCAGCTGATCGGTCACGTGAATGACTAAATCACAAATAACCAAAATCACTTCCTTATATTTGGCAGGTTTGATGACGGGGATAAAACACTGTACACAACACTTACTGGTTCCGGGTCTGGACAGCAGGGAGAGGACGAGCGTCAGGCCCAGGCCGGTAACATGAGTCGCTATCACCGCCACTCTCCGCAGCCACACGTACAGCCAGAAGTCCCGCATACCCAGGCCCTCTCCCACCGGGCTGTACTCCACGTCTGACCGCATGCTGCTCACAGCCTCTCCGGCTACCTGCTCCAGCGTCCGGCGGGAATACGAGGTGTGCTGGAGAGGACCGAGGAGCCCGTGCTGTCGGGAGGCTGCACGAGCTCCATAGTCGCGCGGTTACAGCGAGCACGAGCCGAGCAGCATCAGAGTCGCTGCTTTGCCCAGGCTCGTGTGTGCGCACGACATCCTTCCTACGAAACCCATTTTGTTAAGGCCATTTCCGGCCTGAGGACGCAAACAGAACGGGCGCCGCGATCCCTCCGAGTCTGCACACAGTCACCGAGCTGCCACACCGTCGCTTCTGCTTCCTGCTTCGACCTTTTCTCGAAGAAACTACGCAGTGAGCTGACCCGACTTGTATTTCCTGATTCTCGTGTCAGCCGCTGTAGCCAAGCGCAGGGAGAAACACTAAGAACCGTGCATAGGCACAAAACAGCGTTAACTGAGCGAATCTTAACCTCACTACATGTACACGTAGATGGGTGAAAATGATTATTGTAGGCTTATCAATTATTAATGCACATTGTTGCAGATCATGTACAGCCTGTCGTGGAAACAGTATAGGGCTTTGGAGCGTGATGTCACGGGGGTGGGCGTGGAAAGGATGGCTGATGGCTACGCCTCTCTCAGCAGGTTAATGCAACACGTGGTCCAGGACCGGTTTGAGGTGCTGAATCTCCACATTCCCCATCTCACAGTCCAAACAAGTCCTCACAAGTGTCGGGTCTTAAGGAATCTGTTGCTAACATCTTGGTTCCCGATACCACAGCACCTTCAGGGGTCAGCAAAGGGCTAACTAACATAACATTATGCCTAATTGGTGTAAATGGAGGCAAGGACATTAACATCATATATGCATGTATGTTAAATATGATCTCTGTTCCACAGGCCTGTCAAGGTAGCAGTAATTAGACCGTTAAAAAGTCCTCTGTTTACCGTGTTAGCTAATTAGAGGCCAATCTTTCTTGTATCCCAAAAAGTCTTGAAACAGCTGATCATCTGCAGGTTTCAGAAACTATCACAGTTATGATCTTCTTTGGGCTTTGAGAGCAGACACATGTCTGCTAGACCTCAGTGCAGCGCTCAGTTACCCATAATACTTTGTATAGAGTAATGTGCTGTAGGTATTACAGGTACTGCACTGCAGTGGTTTGTATCATATCTATCTAATAGACCAGTTTGTGCATGTAAATGGAGAGTCCTCTTCACACACTGAGGTTAATTATGGAGTTCCACAGGGTTCAGTGCTAGGACCAATTCTGTTTACATTATACATGCTTCCCTTAGGCAGCATCTTTATTTATAACGCACTTTACATCCAACAATGTTGGCCAAAGTACTACAAATATAAAACAAAGAGAAAACAGTTTAAATTACATATAAAATATCTTAAAATAAAAAAATATATATATAATTAATAAAAAACATATTAAGAGAGATCAACAGGTCCTGCTGTGCTGCAAATAGATATGTTTTAAGACGTGATTTAAAAACAGATAAGGAAGGTCCTGTCTAACATGTAAAGGCAACTCATTCCACAATTTTGGTGCTGCCACAGCAAACGCCCGACTCCCTCTGAGCTTACGATTAGTCCTGGGCACGCTCAGGAGGAGCTGGGCACGCTCAGGAGGAGCTGGTCAGCCAACCTGAGGGGCCCGAGGCCAGGCATGTCCAAAGTCCAGCCTGCGGGCCAAATGCGGCCCGTGTTCAAATTTCCACTGACCGCAGCCTGTGTCACTGATTTTTTTTCTTAGAAGGGTGGACAATGAAATGAACATGAGTGAACCTCCAGAGCCTTACGGGCCAAACGAGAAACAGATTTGTTTGCTGCTGCTTGTTCCGCCGTAGATGACATGAAGCTACCGTAGAATAAAGTCACTGGGGTTATTATGGATGGTGCACCTGCTGTGGCTGGGGAGAGAAATGGACCCTAGTCTGTAACAAAGTCAGCAAAGAAGGAGGTAAAGCTACAAAACTCCACTGTATTATTCACCTACAAGGACTCTCTGCTAAACATTTGAAATACGACCATGTTCTGAAAAAGGCAATAAGGCTATTAATAATATTCGCTCCAAAGCCCTGTGCCACCGCCAGTGTCAACAGTTTGTACTCAACATCCAGGCTGAGTACAGGGATGTTGTGTATCACAATCACGTGAGATGGCTCAGTCGGGGGTCGGCACTGCACTGAAGCGCCTTGAGGCGACTTTTGTTGTGATTTGGCACTATATAAATAAAATTGAATTGAATTGAATTGCAGCGCTTCTACTCTCTTAGGGAGGAAATCAGACAACTCTTATAATAACACAACATGTGAACACGCTGAACAGGAGCCTTCAGGGGTAAAATGCAGTGGTAAGACAACTGTATTCACATATCAAAGCCTTTGGGACCAAACTGCTACTTTTCTAAAGACATCTGTCACAAATGCAGCCCAATACCACACATTTCCCATCGCTACAGGAAATAATGACTAGTTTCCTACAGACCAATGTTAGTGCGCAATGAGGTGGTATGCAGCAGACTTCTCTGGCTGAGAAGGTTCAACAGCACTTTTGGGATTTTGCAGCTATTAAAAAAGGAGATCACGCCTTTTTCCTCTCCCTCTTCCGTGGACCCTGATGATGCTCCTGACCATTTGCAGCCGGAGCTCATTGAGCTGCAGTGTGACACCAAGTATCACCGTCGGCACCAACAGCTTTTTCCGCCAGCTGGATAAAGGCGTGTTCCAAGAGATTCGAACATTTGCTAAGAAAATACTGAGCTTGTTTGGCTCACATACTTGTGCGAGAAGACATTCCCCGTCATGAACATGAACAAGAAGCGTGAGGACAAGATTAAGCGACTCACTTACATGACATTTTGCGCATCAGAACCACTGTTTCTGAGCCAGCCCTGGGCCATTTACAAGGTCTCAGTATCACCCTTCACATTAGTGCAGGCAAGTGGTTTGTTTAGCTTGTAAGTCTTTTTTCCTTGTTTTTTTCAGTTGACTGTCAAACCAGGTCTCCCAAACCCTGCAAATGAAATAATAAAATCTGATTCGGCCCAGCAGCCCGTTTTTCAATTTCATATTTTTGAAATTGAAATAAAAAACATCCATTTTTGTTTTTGAGATCTGATTCAAAATCCAATAACATAAAGTAGTTTTTTTCATTTTTGATGGTCAATTTAAAAAACTAAAGAACGAGCGATGTACGGATTTATATGGCCCAGTGTTTGTACTTTTGAATAAGTTAACTCTTAATGTTATTTTTCTGTTCACATGTTTTGAATTTAGATGTTTAATTTTTCTTCATTTTGTGTTTTTCAAATACATTATTTTGGTAAAAACGTTTAACAATTCATGATAAAAAAAATTCATAATAAAATTTGTGTGAAAAATTTACATGATAAAGTTACAGAGCCCCGCAGGGGACATGGAGAAAAAAAAATTAAGACGGACTTTTGTGAGATCTCACAAAAGTTGAATTCCTACAATGGCGGCAGCTACTTAGTTGTGATATTACTCTTTCTGGGTCACAAAATACACTTTTAAGATATTTTGAGGTGTGAATGTAGTTGTGTAAACGTCAGATACCTGCTCGGTTTACAAGACATCACATATTTGCAAAAGTGCTCCGACGTTTTCGGAGATCTGACACCCACCATCTCGAAGCTAACGGGAGGTCGAGACCTACTACAGCCGGGAGGAACACCGCTTTCCCGGCACATCGTGCCTCGACCTCCCGGTCGGCTTGGAGCTGGCGGCCTCCGAAGGATGCGGCTAAAACTTTTGCGAGATCCCGAGTTTGTTTTGCGAGATCTCGCAGAAGTCAGTCTTAATTTTTTTTCTCCCATGTCCCCTGCAGGGTCCGTATAAAGTCGTTCATTTGCATTTAATTTTAATGGTTCAAAATATTTCGGGCTGAATGGTCGGCCCACACAAATGCTCAACTTCCCAAATCCTGTCCTCTTTGCAAAAAGTTTGGACCCTGCCTTAGGCAGCATCATTAGAAGACATAGCATACATTTACACTGCTATGCTGATGACACCCAGCTCTATCTGTCCATGAAGCCAGATAACACACACCAATGAGTTAAACTGCAGGAATGTCTTAAAGACATAAAGACCTGGATGGCCGCTAACTTTCTGCTTCTTAATTCAGATAAAACTGAGGTTATTGTACTCGGCCCTGAAAAGCCTAGAAATATGGTGTCTAATCAGATTCTTACTCTGGATGGCATTACCTTGGCCTGTGACCAAGAGATGTCCTTCAGTGCGCAAAATGCAAATGCAAATTAGATGTAGCTTGGACTGCAGTAATTTGATATTAGGCGATCCTAAAAACGTCCCGTTTCCTTTATTTGTTCCAACATGCTGCAGCCAGAGTACTGGCAGGTACTCGAGACAGTCTGCCTGTTGATCCAGACTCAAATTCTGCTCCTCATACACAATCTTAATCTAAAAGACTTCATAGTACCATATCGCCCTAATAGATGTCAGACTTTTAAGATGATCAAGTATGTAGTTAAGGCTGGATCAGGTGACCCTGAATCTGCTGTGTCTTCACTCACTCTTTGCATTTAATCATTTAAGCCCTGGCCACCTTCCATGTGTCCCCTCACTCCCTACCAGGCGTGACGGCTGCCCCCTCCTCAGCCCGGTTCTGTCAGAGGGTCATTGTTGGGGTTTCCCTCTATTACAGGAGTCTTTAATAACAAAGCAGCTTGAGGCAGCTGTGGGGATAAATGTGTTAATGCAGTCACATCATCTAGTTTCTAATTGTAAAACGTGCACCACTGACTTCAGCCCAACATGAGAGCACATTTCCAAAGTGATAAAGAAGTGACAGAAACAAAGTGAAAATGACATTTTTAATCAATTTTTATAAACCAACATTTCATTTAGCAGCATAACCAGATGGTCGTGAGGTATTTCTAAATCCATACGCTCTGAACTCCTCCCACCCTCCTTCACTCACCCAGACCTACACACCCAGCTGCGATCCACACTACATCGACACTGCACATACAAACAAGCGGTCACATCCACACCCGAGCGTACGCTCCACAGACAGAAGGCACACACAGACACACACAGTCCTGTTGGCTCAGTCCTGGACTGAGCAGAGCTGGCTCCCTCATCGTGGCTTGTAAGGCAGGCACACTTAATGGTGCAGTTTTGGCTGTAGGACAAAAGAAAATTAGTCAAATTATTACTTTTGTTTAGACAGCTGCTCTTTGCATTCACTTCATAATAAACAAAGATCCATGTTTCACACAGAGCCAGTTTAAGACCGCTCCTCGGAGCGTGGCGGGAATTTCTGTCCACCGCTGCTGGGCGTCACGGAAACAGCTCTCGGTTGAGTAATAGTCATTTTTAATACCTTGCAGCAGACCTGTGTTAGTCTAGTCCAAGACTACGTCGCTGACAACAGAGACTCTGAGGAGTATGACCTGACTTATCTATGGCACTTTGTAATTACCCAGAGGGCAGCAGCTGCACCTTCAACACGTCAGCAGTACACTGCTGCGTCTATGCAGAAACATGATTCCTCTACATGCACTGTGAGGCACTGAGCTGGTTGCACGGTACAAACTGTCTGACTGGCAGCATCCTTTCAGCTGTGCAGAGGCAGTCTCATCAGCTACACCAGTGAACACAGGTGACGAGCTGTGAGGTAGCTGCACAGGCAGAGGCCGCCCTCACTAACGCAGCCATACAAGCAGAAACACAACAGAAACCACTCCGTTCTCAAAAGAGCTTCAAGGGTTACTCCTAGTCGCCTTTGCAGGGGCCAAGTGTGGACTGGAACTGCTCAGTACACCCATTTCCCCTCGTCCAAACCTACCTTCTGTGTGCCCAGTTTCTTCTCCACACCCCCAGAAAGCGTCCCGCTTTTATTGTCTTTCCAGGGGTAGAAGTTTGAGCGTGGAGACGAAGTGGCAGAGCTGGAAGAAGAGGAGGAAGTCAGGCAGTGGGCTGAAGGCTTAGAGGAGGGAGCGTTATCCTCCGTACGACCAGCTTTGCGTTTCTTCACCGTTCCCATCTGGTGCTCAAAGACCCTCCCGCTGCCCTGCCCGTGCAGCCCTGAGTCTCCCACGCAAGCACGGCTGTGGGAATTGGCGGTGGGAGAAGGGTCCCCCAGAGGAGGGTGTGTCCGTCTGTAAGTCCAAATAGCCTTTGTGGTCGGCGACTGGGCGTCTGTGGGGGAAGGCTGGGGGTGGGGTTTGCTGCTGGGGGAGAGCGTGCCATTGGTCTGTGCGTGCGCTTTGGAAGATAAAGACGACGTGTTGGAAGGCGGGCGGCCCCTGTCCTGGAGGACGATGCAGTTCCTGTCGGGACCAGAGTGCTCTCCTTCCTGGGATGGGACTTTGCGCTTGCGGAGAACAGCGGCTGTAGCGACTTGCTCTCGCAGCTTCAGCATTTGCTTGCTGGGACGTCCGACTGGATTCTTGGGTCTCCCGGGACTAGGGTAGCGCGTCGCCGCAGGCGCGCCATGACTACCGGCGATGCTGCTGCTGCTATTGCTCCCGTAGTTCTCCAACTGCGTGGATGTCGGGGGCCTCCCCGGCCCTCGACTGGAAGATGATGAAGATGACGCCGTTTTGAGGGAGGAGCTAATATGACTTCCTGTGCGAACCTTAGAATGTGATGAAGAGGAGGACATGATGGTGGGAGACACGGATGTGATGGTCTTGGCTGGAGGAGGAGGAGACTGAAGGTCTGCAGCTTGAGGTATTTTCCTGGACAGAGGGAAAAAAGAACAGATGAGCCCACCTGCAGTGTCTGACAGCACAGCCATGTTTACAGTGGCCACACCCCCGCCTCACCCTGCCACGGGGAACATAAAGCCCAGACAGCATTGTGAGGTCATCTTCTGAGGGGGCATTGAACCAAACAACCCAGGGTGCACCTCTGTGCCAGCCTTGTTTGTGCTGCTGTAACATGTAAGCCCTGAGTGTCTGTTCCTGCACTGTATGTCAGCAGACACGTTGTTAGCAGGAAACTGCTGCCATACGACAGCTCCTCAGGACCTGCTTAGGCTCAGACCGAGCATCTGATGGAGGAAGAACGTTACACGTGGCATCGTGAGCATTTCACACTGCTGCTCTGTCCGGCTTTGCCTGAACGAGTCCCACTGATGTGACGTTATGGACCGAGTGGTTTTAATGCCACAGCCTACCTGTATTGTTGCCGACTGCATCCATCGCTTTATCAACACACTGCATCCATTTTCTAATGGATGCTTCCAGCAGGACAGTGTCTCACACATTTCCTGTGTCAGGAACAAAAGGAGCTATACTGTTTGATAATGTTTAGGCTTTTTACAGTGAACCAAAGCAGCTCCAACTCTTTTCCATGCTGCTGTTCACGGCTGACAGTGTCAGGGCATGCTCCCACATCAGCACTGACTGACAACCAAACCTGTCGTGCTGAACTAGGCTACAGTCAGCATCTCCATGTGTGTCACAGTCAGGGTGAACTGCTCTGTCTAAAGCACAGAATATAATGTCAGAGACATTCACACCCGTGGCCTGCTGCAGATCGTCCTGTGGGGCTCTGGCAGTGCTCAGAGTTCCCACACAAAGGAGCAGACACCAGTCTTGATGTGGGTTAAGCACCTCCTGCAGCATCTGTCCATCTCCTGGAGACTCCTGCATGCTGTTGAGGCTGTGCAGGGAAGGCAGCAAACCAGCTGAAAAGCACACAGCTGGAGCACTACCTGTGCAGCCTGTGCAGGGTTCAGTCAGGGTGCTCCCAGTACTGACACTGACCCCGGTGTCCGTGGGTCGCTCCATTGTTGCACCACAGCTGCTGACAGTTACTCTGAGTAGTAAACACACATATATTCACATGAAGCTCTGTTCACAGGGACGTCTTACTTCCAAAGATGGGCGCTGATGTGCTGTTCCAGCATGCTGCTGAAGGCAGACCTCAGGTGGTGTAGTCTCCTGTCAAACGTGTAGATGCCCTGACCCAACACACGGCTTCCAAACGAGCACACCTTTAAAAACAAGAACACACCTTTAAACACCGAGCACAGAGGCTGTGCAGATATGATGCTGTCTGAGTTTACATTCAACACAACTGTTTATTTTGGAACTTCACAAAATCCTTTGAGTTGCTTTTCACACGTCTACTTTTGTATTTGTATCTATTCCAGCACCGTTTGCAGTCAGTCTCTCAGAGAAGTGCCTGGAAGAGCCTGTGGCACCACTGCAACCATGCTGCTTTATCCACACACACACACACACACACACACA